CTCTATATATATATATATATATCATCCATCTCTTTCGCTCTCTTTCTTTAGGTGACCGTTAACAGCGACGACACGATATCGACGGTAGAGGGCTCTGTGCGCGGCATCCGTGGCGGCGTGCGCACGCGCTGTAGCGAGCTGGCCGTCGACGACAACGGAAGGCCGTTTAGAAGGCAGCTGGTGGGAGACATGGAGGCAATAACGGAGACCGAGCCCGAGCCCGCGCCAGCCAGCCAGGCACCCGCAATGCAAGCTTCCTCTGTCACACAAGGACCCTCCCTCACTCAGGGACCCTCCCTCACTCAAGCTCCCTCTGTCACTCAGGGTCGCTCGGGCGTCGGCGACCAGCCGTCGAAGGGAGGCAGAGAGACGGCTGGCTGGAGATCCACGGAAGCCGGAAAACAGGAGAGAAGCCATCGACCTAAGGTCGTGAAGCTGACCGAGCCAGAGGAGCCGGTTGCTAGGGGCAACCGGGCGTCCACGGACATGCCGCTGCTGCGTAAGATGAGTATGAGGAAACCCGGGCAGGTGTCACCGACGGAGCCGCCGCCCTCCGACTCGTGTGAGTCATCCTCCACGGTAGCAGCCGAGATGGGAGCAACCAGTAGTGCAGCAGCCAAGATGCCAGCTTTCCCTGTTGCAGCCGAGATCCCAGCGTATAGCGGTGCAGCCAACATCCCAGCTTCCCGTGGTGCAGCCAAGATTCCATCATTTAGCAGTGCAGCCAAGATTCCAGAATTCAGCAGTGCAGCCGAGATTCCAGCATTCAGCAGTGCAGCAGAAATGCCAGCAACTCGCGGTGCAGCCGAGATGGGAGAGTCCAGCAATGCGGTGTTGTCAGGAGACGCCCATGAGAGGTATTCTCTTATACAGAGTCAGTTCGCTGAGCTTCAGAGGAGACTGCAGCGTGGCAGCTCGCACCCGGACGAGCAGCTGCTGCTACTGGAGGAACTGCAGCGTTTGATGGCCCTCAACCAGCAGTTCATACAGCAGCAGTCTCTCACCACAGCGCAGCCTTCCGCTGCTGCTGCTGCTGCCAGCACCCAGCTTGCTATTCCCGCTCCTCCTCCCGTTCCCCTGTCGTCACTGACCACTGCCCTTCCGACCAGTCGTGTGATTTCAACCACTCACTCGTCGTTGACCGCTCGCGCTCCGCTCACCGTGAAGCTACTGACAGTTGACGGCCCTCACGCGGCCCGTCCGCCTACAGGCTATGATGCTCCCGCAACGTCCGCTCTGTCGTCGGCGACGTCGTCCTCCCAGCCGCTGCTGCTAGAGTGTCCGCGTGGGGGCGCTGCAGACGGTCCGGCGATGCATAGAGGGAGCCAGTACGGCGCGTGGTCGCAGAGCAGAGAGACACGCCAGCCAGGTGGCGCTCCCATCGCCCCGCCGCCGCCGCCAGCGGCGCCATTGTTGCTGGACGACGTCCGCGCCGGACTGCGTTCGATCGCTCGCAGTGCGCCGCCTGGTGGCGAGAACAAACCGCTTTCCGGAGAAGATTCGAAAGCGGGTCTGTTGTCGGAGATTATGATGCACGGGGGAAGGACGTCCTTGAAGAAGGTAATATAGAGGACACAGAGGGTGGATGGATGTATGTGTGTGGGTGTGTGTGTGTGCGAGCGTGCGTGCGTGCGTGCGTGTGTGTGTGTGTGTGTGTGTGTGTGTGTGTGTGTGTGTGTGTGTGTGTGTTGTTGTGTGTGTGTGTGTGTGTGTGTGTGTGTGTGTAGATGGAATGATGGCATGGTTATGGATGCGATGGATGGATGGAATGGAATGGATGGATGGATTGGAATGGAATGGATGGAATGGATGCGATGCGATGGCATGGATGGATGGATAGAATGGATGGGTGGGTGTGGCTTAGATAGATAGATAGATAGATAGAATAGATAGGGTAGATAGATAGATGATTACGATAGATAGATAGATAGGATGAATAGATA